ACGGTAGGACTCCTTGAACGAGTCATCAGCCCGACACAAGGCCGCTACCTACACATAGGAGAACACAAACACAGAATAAACGCACACACAAACATACACGCCTTGACTGGGATTCGAACGTAGGATCACAGCGTTCGAAGACAGTTCATGAATAGCATGGCCCACCAGTCGTCCGAACTACTCCAACCTGAGCAGCGACAAAACAGAAAGTAATGGTACGAACAGAGGCAAGCGTGCATCGAACCTCGGTACCATCCGAACGCAGATTCCCTTCCAACGTCAATGAATATAAACAATTTCGTTAAAACAATCTTTCAGATTCCTATATAATACGACGCTGATGATTTCAGCTTCTTTGGGCTAAGGCATCGATGACATTAAGCGGTATACTTAATGAAATTAATATACTTTGGGGTTGAATGTCCTTGAGTTACATCCGAAAGGTTATTTGTGCATCAGATAAGTCTTCTAACGTCATTACACAAACCGCAACTCTATTTGGCGCCGAATGAGATCGTTATGCATTGTTAATTAGTACGGTGAAGAAAATGTTCGCGGCCAATTTATATGTAGTATATCTGGCATTCACCACGAATGAATTAGGGAAAAGCACGACAACGATCTGGGCAGCTAATGCCACAGCCAAGACTAGAACCGAGTACTTCTCGAATAGCAGTGCGTTAACCCTTTGCCAACCTGGTCGGTTTGTTAATAGCCTGTCGCTTAGGAAAGATTCACGCCAATTCACAGCTCGTTACATTGCCCTCTGATTTAACACTAGCTCCTTTCTGTGCAAGCTGAGGCAGCTGCCAATACCGACAACTGCGGATCGGTTGGTCAGAGTCGCAGGTGCGTGCTACTCTGCAATTTCTTGGCTTCACAAGTTTCGTATCAATGCATGGGCAGCATTTAGAAACCGTGCCTAGCTGCAATTAAGTAACTACACGTCAAGGTAAAATGTGTCTTCTATAAAATGAATCATAACCTTCAGAATGCAATGATCTCCAAGAAGACGTGGCTCTTCAAGAGCCCATGATGTGGAGCCTAACCACCACCCTGGAAGAAGTGGAGTCCATAAATTGCCCCCTCTCCTAGAGCTGCTCCCTCTGCAGCAGCCCATCCAGGCCGATCCCGGCGAGGGTTTCGTTGGTTGGTTGACCGGGCAAGCTGTGTGTAGACTAGTGTGTCCCTCCCCTTGCCAGCAGACCGACTCTTCATATGAAACAGAGGGAGTTAACCCGGGGGTTGCTATAGCAACCGGATGCTGCAGTAACCAGCGGACCGTCACGAAGACAGCAGCCCCTCAGATGGGTGTGCTTGGATGGCAAACCGACATCAGGCCACTTTACCTTTAAAGGTGAAACGCCCGAAAGCACCTGAGTTCTCTAAATGCTGCGACGGGACTAATTAACTCATATGGGTAGACCTAAGGTTAATAGCGCAAAAAAANAAAAAAAAAGTAAAGGTATCCCTGTAACAGGCCGTGGAGGCCCACTGGGTTGTGAGGTGTTGACGCTCCCACATTTTCTAGATAATTGGCTCATAGATGGCGTAAGGTTGCTAGCCTTACGCGCCGTCCACCCTTTACCCCCAAGAATATTCCTGGTACTCATTTCTGTTAGAGGCTAAGTCGACCGCAGGGCCATAGTGCGGCTGGAAGGATCAGGTAAATTGAAAAAAATCCATCTCATCGGGATTCAATCCCGCGACCTTCCGCCTTGTAGCATAGTGCCTCAACCAACTACGCTACCGCGTGCCCCCTAGCATATACTTCCAGATGTACCCTACAAAAATTAATTAAAATGTTATATTACCAAATATAAATAAAACTGAAAGCTGGGGAAGGTGTCGGTATAGAGGTCAGGCTACGAGCTGGACGACCAGAGTATCGGGGTTCGATTCCCGACAGGGGGGCCCACTGTCTCCCGTTAAATAGGAATCGGGGGCTCTTCCCCATGGGACGTGCAGTGAAGCGCACCACTCACTTCCATCTAGTATCAAGGCTAATGCACTCCCTCGTGCGTTTTCATGTAGTGATGCTTAAGTAATTAATCAGAGGCGTCCCTTTTTCGTTTTCAACTTTGACTTTGTCGATGTAACTACTACCGGTATACTATTGGTCCCCACCAGCAAATATTTTTTGTTCGAAATATTTCAAGATCGGGGTGACCTCAAAAAAGACCCATGCACGAGGAATTTAATTTATTTCTTGGAGTAAACAAATTTTATAAACCGTATAATTTAAATCTAAAACGTTCTGTGAGATAAAATGCTGCGAATTTTTAGTTTATGCCATTACATGACTCAGGGAATCCTCGACGCGGGTACTTGAACCGCAGATTTGCGAAACGAGAGGCGGATACGTTGACCTTGAGACGCGGTGCTGGTTTTTGTTGGCAAAAGCCTGGCCCTAACTGCGTGAATGGGAACAGTGAAAATGTAGTCTCGTGAGTCTGTGATCGGGCTTTTGGTCACACACTTTACACTTGCAACTTCCGGCCAACTTGAATGTATTTCAAGTTAAGTTAATTTACGGTGAGCGATCACACAACAGAAATCCTGGCCAGGCGGTAGGTAATATTGAATCTTAATTGCTCATAGGAACACACGAGTATCCTAGGATCAGATAATTCCTTAAAATTCAGCTACCGGGAACTTTACCCGGAGGTAATGACGGACAAAGCGTCTAGCTGACAATTGTCTTGTTTATTAGAGATGCATTTATTTCTCAGCACTCTTATCAACAGCAAGGTTATGTAACCGAATTAAATGAGGGGTTATGTGCATCCACTCTGAAAGGGCTACAAAAGAAGTGGTCGTGGCCAACTACTTGTTCTGGTTCGGCATTTGGAACGCCTGGAAATGTATGGGAAAACTCTGGTTAGCAAGTGCTACTGTGATTCAAACCGGGTACTTCGTATGCACGTCTGGAAACATTAACAATACCAACATGCTCGAATAACAGCCGGATATTATTAAAATCTTACCAATCTTCATGGTTCCCTGGAATTAAATTTTACACCTGCGAACATGTCAGCATACTTCTCACTAAATATATCAGTTACTCACACCCCACACCACAGTGGCAGTGTCGTCGGTTATAGAAGAAAGGACAGGAGAAGAGGGGTGGGGGAATTTTAGTGAGAATGAAATGAACCATCTTCCGCTAATAATGTTAGAGAGAGACACTACACAGGATGGAGCATTGAGCCAATGCTGTGCTGCCAAAACACACACACACACACACTACTCAATAATCAAGTTATTATTCAGAAGAGTTAGTGACGATACTGTGGATCCACAGATATATGTGTGGATAGAGGAATGAATATGGTAGTAACTTCCCACTGTTTCAACGATGGCGGTGGTTAGGTTGGTGGGGCATATATACCTCCCACATTGAGATAAGATTTCCCATTCAGTTGACTCACCTTAGATTTCTCTTACATGTTGGTAACAGAAGACGAGATAACGTACAGGAAGTTGTAAGGTGTTTATTCAGCTTTTTATTACTGTCGAAAACAAACTGCGCCAGCACATTTCAGTAACCTGGACTAATTCCTTTTGCTTGAAACTGGATCCCATCTTAACAGAATGTGTACGATTGTTACAATATGGTTTCCTCTGCACCCAAGACTGCTCTAGGGATTTCAATTCTCCCTCACGGTTTTGTTTTCTCTTTGCCCCGACCTTGATGGTATGAGACTGGTTTTATGGTTCAACGTTCCACAGAAAGGGAAACCATGCAAGCGAGACAGGAGAAGCACGGCCAACGAAACGACTTGACCTACGCTAAAAGTCATCAAAAAATATCGGATATGTCCGAAGTATGTATCATAACATTCGGTACTGCACCTTAGAAATAAAAAGGCCGCCTCTTTCAGAATTTGATGTCTCTACTGGACAATGCCATTCCTCCCACTACATGCACACAGATGAAATTTACGATTAATATTTGACGCGTTGTTTGTTCACAACTGTTCAGAATTCTGATCCGGAACTGACGTAACAAAATACAGGACGTGGGTCCGTGTAGTAACAGACACACACAAAAGGGGGGCAAAAACACGATGGCGACACGGGAACATCTGCTCCAACGGCCCTTTGTTCAGAGTTTCCTTCTGTACAGCGTATCATGCATGGGTCTGGTCTCGTCTACCCAGCCTTAGGGGTCTTCCGGCCAGCTGCTGCATTCTGCTTGCGTAGTAACGAAATATTCTTTGTTAACCGAACTCGGCTAAGCGTCCTCCCGACTTCGGAAATTACTTTCGTGGCAAATCACATATTTTGAAAACGAAGCATTCTCTACAATTCTACAATTACTTTATCCTATTATTAACCTTGAACTTCAGCTAATTTTTTGTGCGTTACATTGGCACTCTGCACTTATATTATGATCATGCTTCATTTTCCAGTACATAGATGTTATGCCAGGTTTCCGTACATAAAAACTTCATATTACAAAAGAACCACCGCCAATGCGAAACGGAGAATGGCTCTTGCTACTACTATAATGTTCAAAACTGATTTTCGATGTCCCCCGTGATGCAAAAATCACTTATTGGAACATAAATGTTTACTACTGAAATTAAGCAACTGACAAACCGTTCTTAGAAACAGAACATGGCTATTGCGGCTACTGCATGTTCAAAACTGGTTTTGAATGTCCCCCATTATGTAAACGTAACTTACTGGAACATAAATTTCTACTAGTGAAATTAAGCAATAGACAGAACACTGTTATCATACGAGACAAACCAAATCCGTCTTCCAAATGAGGACAAGTTTATTTAAACCATTTACACATGAATTTTAAAACTACAACTTTATTTCAATTTTCAAGGCCATCTCGGATATATAGAGCATCACATTCTACATGCTATATAAGTGCAAAACGGAATTATCATGGTGACAGGGGTTGAAGTGAAAACAACTACAGGTCTCAACAATAGCACCTCGATTTTTGTATGACGCCATGACTACAAGCTAAACTTCCTTACCTTGTCTCCCCACGATTTCGGCTACATGCTCTGAACTTGGCACAGGCACACACTCCGTCATGTTTTGGCTCTTCTTGCCTCTGCTCTCGTCGGGGAAGGCAGGCGTGAGGGTCTCGCCGGGTGATGGTTCAGTCGTTGTAGGTGAGGAATCATTGAAACCTAGCATTGATAATTCGAATGCTAGTTGTAGTGCTCTTTGGTCTTCGAGACCGCTATTATTTCGATCCATATCGGAAAACAGACTAGCAGGCATCACAGGATATAAAGGAATTATTACAACATACAATAAAAAGAACACTGTACAAAAATAAAACTACTCTTTAACGGCGCTGTAATGACGGTGTTCGGCTGGTATGCCGACGCAGTGTGGCCGGCAATGCGACTGGACTGCAACGCCTGTTTAGGTTAAAGGCATGTGCTCAAACAAAACGTCATGGACCTTTGGCGCAGTTTTTCGACGCGGTAAAATTGAATTCAGCTCTGCTAGTGGTGCACTGAGAGCACGTGACTATTCGGAGCTCCCGCAGTGTGGCCCCCAATTGGGTGGAAAATATCCTCCCCTCGCTCCTCTCTTCCAGGGTACATGGTGACATGGCCGATGCTAAAATTACCAACTGGCGAGGGTCGAGGCGCGGATGTAGACAAAGGAAGTTGAAAACACGTGTTCTCATGGCTGTGTGGAGATGAAACCGGCAAACGAAGAAACAATGTTAACTCATGAAAACATATATTCCCCTAGTTTTAGAGCACAGAAACTTGTATAAGGTAAAGATAAAACGGCAATGTTTTCCCTGCGATTAATTAATTAAGCACCACGCCATAAAGAAATATGGGGGAGTGGAGGTACAGCTCCACCATTCTTGACTTCGGAATTAGATGGGAACTTGTGTAGGTAACAACAATGGATGCAACTACGACAAATGTTACCATAAATATTGCATGCATATTACATGATCTAGGAACAACAGCAATATTTAGCGTAGTTATCAATGGGAAAGTGAATACGGAGTGGATTTGTACCACAAATAATACATATTGCATTCCGCGTTGTTCTTACCTCCCTGAAACAGTAGATGACAGACAAAACGAAAAATGTTGCGGATGTTATAGTCAACATTATGAACCTTGCAAATGATGTTTTGATTCGTAACAAGTGCATGCATTGGCATCAAATTAAAGACATACCGAACATCAAATATGTTCTCAGAGTACCCAGTGCGCGTGCTTTAAATGGCCCATTTCTTAGTTAGACAAAACGGCACGGAAGGGTAAAATAGGCCATTAAAATTAATACCATGAAACCAAGTGGCATATTGTGAAAGCAATAACAACTTGTCAGTTTGAGGACATCTTCCAAAGAAAAACAGGCTTCCTTGTATCTGTTATGATCATGGTAGAAAAACAGGCTTCCTTGTATCTGTTATGATCATGGTATAAACTGAATACGAACCCTCCAAAATGAGAGCTGCAGTAGCGTAGTCGGTACAGCGATTAGCTACAGGGTAGACGACTGTGGGGGTCGGAGTTCGAGTCCCGGTAGGGTCAAGAATTTTCCCTTCTCCGCGTCGTTCCGTGGCTCTGAGGTTCACCCAGCCTCCTATCCAATGACTGCCGGGAGATCTTTCCTCGGGGGTAAAGCGGTCGGGGCGTGAAGCTGACCACTCAACTCCAGATACTGCCGAGGTCAAGAAAATGTGGATCTATACATCCACTCCCCCATACGCCTTCATAGCGCAGTGCTTAGATAGTCAAGCATGGGGACAAATTTACCTTTTTACTCTCCCGAATGTTTTTAAAAGCATTTCTAGCTTTTCGCTTCTCTTTGTCGGTTTGATCCCCGGTACGCTAATGTGAAATCTCTTATAGACAAGCTAAGAGGGAATATTTGTTGCAGTTCTCTGGTTTCCTCTTCTTCTGCGTTATTTGCACATAAAATGAAGACATAATAGAGAGGTGTCTCGAACTATCTTCATTCATCTTTGAAACTTTGATGGATTTCGACTGCAAATAGTGCAAACACATTCAAACTAAAAACTGAAGAACGAATTTTATTTGGCTGGTACAGTAGCGTTCTGTCTGAAAAAGTACATAGTGTCTGCAACAGATGAGTCTCAATGTCAAGGGAGTGAGGGAAATTGTAAAGATTGCTTTCGGTAAATGGTGTAATCCGAATTCATGTGTATTTTTATTCTTGTTCTATCCACTGTCCAGTCATCAGGATAATTTCATTTGCAACATATGATACAATATCGTTGACTGAATAAGCAAACAGCCAGTTGCCAAATTCGTGTTTCCGATGAAGATATCCACTCTTGACATTGTTAATCATACTGTAGGTGGGCATGTAGCTGTTAAAGAGTAGAATAATATTAAAACGGACCTTCAATAACTAGGTTATGTGCATGTGAGACGGGTCGAGCTGGGTCAGGATATAATCGAATGACGACTTTTGTGATCATGGAGAAGAATATTTTGAAGAAAGTCGTCTTCTGGGTTTAGGCGCCGTGTATTCTTCGTTTTGGCCGACGTTTCGGAGGAACGCATCGCCTCCATCTTCAGAGCTGTTGAATGGCTTGGAATGCAGAGAGCAGTAGCTGTGAATACACGTAAAATACACGGCGCCTAAACCCAGAAGACGACTTTCTTCATAGTCATCGCCGTGAAAACCTCAAAACTTACAAAGAATATTTTGATTCACTAACAACAGCATATTCCGTCAATATACAATTACGCAGCATGGAAAACAGGCTTACGTAAATAAATCACGAATCAACCAATAAACAGGAAATACTTGCTCACCTGAATCACTACAAAATAGTCAACGAAGATCCTGTTTCATGGGGTTAGTAATGACATCTGCATTTATTATATTGCTTTATCTTTGCATGTTTTATTTTGTGACACCGTCTGTATCTCAGAATATACAGAATCGAATCGTAGGATGGCCGATGATTAACGAAGGAAAGTATTTGTAAGGAACGGAGGTTAAATCGATGTATTATCCCGGCATTTGCCTGCAAGAACTGAGGAGAGACACAAAAAATCTGCCAGGATTACTGGTGCTCCGAATACAAATCTTGGGCGTTACCGCAAGACCAGTTCGCTCGTATGAAAAACGTTATAATTGTAGTGAATAATAAGACGTGAAAAAATGCGTATTGAAGCGGTCGTGGCTCATTTAAAATGCTATTCCGTCATTTACTTCAAGGCACTAAGACAATTTAGGAACTTTTTCGGTTAAAACAACCAGTATCTATGTCAGGGTTGAAGTTAGCTAATTCTAAGACCGAGAGGTACGAGACCAGTAGGCCTATGTGGGTTACTGTTAAATAGACTTAATTCAATATCAACCACAAGTACGGATCAAAGATTGTCATTTTAAATGAACGTGAATTAGATATCAATCAATAAAGTGACTTCCACATTGTTACAGGATGCAAAAAGTTTTAAAATGATGTAAATAAGGTCAAAAAAGGATAGCGAAAGTTTTAAAATGGAGTAAATACGATGAAAAACATATCACACCTGTTCCTCCACCTCTTACAAACATACAAAAACACTAATAACATTACTACCAGAATCCTTCTCTCGCCTATCTTGCGCAGATGATTAGGCTACAAAATGACATTTCTCTGTCTCTGTTTGACACACAGGCCCGTATAAAACTGGTATGACCTTTTCCGAGAGCGTCTATTACTCACAATATCAGATTGACCCATACTTCTACAACAGAAGAGATGTTCTCTCAGGAAGTCAGCATTAATGCAAAATTCTAGCTTCTGGGGTATAATAACATTGTGCAGTGCGTTGAGAAGGAAACCGACGTTTCGCAGGAACATATCGCCTCCATTTTCTGGGCCGAAGAATAAACCGAGCAAGACACGAGCGTGAAACAGAGCTCCCCTTGCTACCTGCTTCGTGCTGGTTCCTTGTTTGGCTTATTCTTCAACACTGAAGACGGAGGCGACATGTTCCTCCAAAACATGGGTTGGCTTTCAAGGACTACACGGCGTTATACCCCAGAAGACAGAATTCTTCATAACGACCCCTGTGAGTCCCTCAAGTCTTACAACATTAATGCATTTTTTATTAATAACAAAAATATTAAAGTGACAGACCTCAGGCGGTTCGGCAGGTAGATTGATGAGGTGGCAACTCTTGACCCCACCTCACTCGTGACAGAATTCGATTGGAACGTACGTCAACTTGAATAATGATAACGCACTGAAAAAAGAAATGGAAATAAGAAAGATATCATTGATTGTTTCGGGCTCGGTAGTCGGTAGTAGTAGGCCCTCTTCGTCACGTATTTTATTACAAAAAAAACGGCTACACAAATTCTTCTTTTTTAGTATGTCTCATAACCAACTAACTCCACAAAAATCTGGCCTTTCTTGAAAACATAACACATTTCCTGCTGCTGTGGAACCAGAAGATTCATCATCTTGGTCTCAAAAGTCCATCACTGGATTATGTCCTGAACTACGAGTAGATAAGTTTCGTTAAGGTTTCGCTACCTATGAACCCACATGTGTGAATAATATAGTAGGATTTCTATTCTGACAACCAGAAAAACTTGCATTATTTTTTGTGACAGTCCATTATTGTCAAATGGGATCATTTAACAGGTAATCTCCTTGGGGTGAAAATTATGTGCTAGAATTCTGTTCTGTTTGACCCATAAATAAGTTACCTGGACAAATAATACTTCTTAAATCTTATATTGACAGGTTTTCAAATAATTTTGTTCATTTTATTTTTAATCATTGCTGTGCAGTTTAATTACGAGGTCGACACCAGGTACGCAAAGACAGGTTACCTTGATTTGTTTGAAAATCAGATTCAGAGGGAACACAAAACAGTGTCCACCCCTTCATTTACAAATGTAATTGTGAATGGCTATCACATGAATGAATCAATTATATAAAATATTTTACTTTCACGAACGTTTTTATTAATTTTATTACTTCAATTAAGATTACAGTACCTGTACAGCATAATAATAATGACTGCACGCTGCCTCTGGACATAAGTGTCATCCTCAAGTCTGTACTACATTCAGCTTCATTTTAATTTCCCGCATCAACCAAGATCGGAAGCAAAATTTTCCTTACGCGAAGGGAATTATATTGCACTGAATTGCAGAAAGTGGGACGATGAAGCAACATATGATCTAGGCAGATCAGCTTAGACACGTAGAAAATGCATCTGGAGTTCGGGAGTTTGGAAATGTGTGGTCACCAGTGCGGCAACCGGGGTAGGCCATGTGTTTAATTTGCGAGTTAGGTTATGTTTGTGGGATTCAGAAATAAATTGTTAACTACAAACTTATATGAGATCATGTGAACAAGATACATTGAGTGAAGGCTTCAAAGGCACGTAATGGATTACTTGACACGTACCAATAATGACAGCATGGAAATGTTAGTGCAATTAATCGTGCGTGTTTGTAAGTAATCAGCGCAATTAATAGTGTGAGTTTGTATGTAATCTTGATTTAATAATGACGACGCAATGTCGATTAAGTCATATTATGTCGAATTATTGAAAAAGATTAAAAATTTTATGGTTTGTTAATATAAACAAATATTTTTACTTATAAAGTTTTAACATTTTACATGTTAAATATTTGAGCTCTTTAAATAATTACATTTGCTCACTGAAACATAATGGTGTTTCAAGAAGTCGCCAGATTAAACTCTGTAGTTCATGGCAGAAGGTTTCCATTGATTCAGCGCATTAAAATTGATATGCGGTTAATATTTGACAAGTCTGTGAGAGCCGTACAACCAGATAATTTACTGAGAAATGCCATTCATGTAAAAGGAAACAAATTAGTTGTGAGTGATACACAGTATCAACTAAATAAGAACGTCTATTTGGTTGGATTTGGAAAAGCAGCTTTGGGTATGGCATGTGAAGCAGAGAGAATATTAGGAAATCATTTGTGTTCTGGAATTATTAGTGTACCAGAAGGTATTCAGGAAACTATGAAGAAGAATCCTAACATGCAACCTAAGTCTGCCAGTACTTTGGAAGTCATAGAAGGAGCAAAGAATAATTTACCAGATCAGAATGCTGAGGAAGCTGCAAGGAGAATTAAACAACTAGTTCAGAATTTAGGTAGCAATGCTCTCCTAATAGCCTTAATATCAGGTGGCGGATCTTCCCTGTTACCTCTTCCAGTGCCACCGATCACACTAGAAGAGAAGTGTCAAATGGTAAAGCTTTTGACTGCTGCTGGAGCTAACATAATTGAATTAAATTCTGTTCGGAAAAAGCTTTCTCTTTTGAAAGGGGGAGGACTTGCGCAGTTAGCTTACCCTGCCCAAGTACTGGCTTTGATTATCTCTGATATTGTTGGAGATCCACTGGATTTAATTGCTAGTGGACCCACAGTTGTAAACAATGATGCACCTGATGTTGCACTTAACATCATAAGAAAGTACTCCCTGCTTGACAAAGCGCCAGCTTCCATACACACTTGCCTAAGCACTATGAGCAGTAATATAACAAGTCAGCATGAAGAATTGGAAAATTCAAAAATATTTTCTCATGTTCATAATTTACTGATAGGATCCAATTTGACTGCAGTAACAGCTGCAGCAGAAGCAGCCACCAGTAATAATTATAACAGTGTAATATTATCTTCTGGGATTGAAGGGCTCGTAGCAGATATGGGAAGAATGTATGCCACACTGGCAACTACAATTTGCAAAATGTTATGTAACAAATCTACACCCAATGAAATACATGAAGTTTTTTGCTACATGAAACAATTGTACAGCATCTGTGATAATTCAGAGAGAGAGTTGCTGTGTGCTGTGAAAAGTATGAAAAATAAAAGAGGAATATGTTTGATAGCTGGTGGAGAAAGTACAGTCATTGTTAAAGGTGGTGGTTTAGGAGGAAGGAATCAAGAATTGGCAATGATCTTTGCCAGACATATGAATGAAAATTCAAAATCATTTCCATTCTTGGAACAGTTTCATGCTGTTCTTTTAAGTGCAGGTACTGATGGAATAGATGGCCCAACTAATGCAGCTGGAGCTTTTGGTTATAGAGAGCAACTTAATGCAGCTACAGAACAAAATCTAAAACCAGATGAATATGAAAGTAACAATGATTCATATAACTTTTATTTAAAACTGAATGGTGGTGAAGATTTAATAGTTATTGGACATACAGGAACTAATGTAATGGATCTGCATGTCTTGATTATTGAACCAATTGAAAACAACTGGTAATTTTTCATCCTGTAATAAGCAGTTCATTTAATTTTGCCCTCCTACATTCATAAAACTTCAGATATCTATATTGAGAAGTTGGTCACGTGGGAAAACAGTATGGAGTTAATATGTTTTTCAATTGTCCAGAATTAAGATTAGAACTCAGTTTTATATTTCTGAAGTTTTAGTTCATATGAAGGTGGTCATGCCATACCTCAGGTGGTTAGGCGCTGGTTTCTTATGCCAGAACATTGTGTTTAATCTCATGTGTCACAGTGGCTGTAGTAGCATTGGAGCAGGATTTTCTCCAAGTTTCTTAAGCTTCCTGTACTAATCATTGTACCATAGTTTCATAGTCATCTGTCAATACCCCCTGAGGCAGCACATTATCATATATTTAGCCCATAAGTGTGGGGTTTCAACTCTCACCCAGAACATGGGTCTGAAAGGACTTATTCTTACTAGGATTTTGTGTTTTTTTTTTTAACCATTGTTCCATATAATCCATATTACCTGTCATGTTTCCCAAAACTTTCTTTCCACAATATAGCAGTGCCATCCTGTTTTTCTGATCCCAGTGTAATAGTGATAATTTGTTTTATTTAAACAGTTTCTATGGATAAGCATAGAGGCAGAATTCAAAATATGGCCCAGAGTATACCTGCTGTCTGTACCTTCATTCATGCCATCAACAACAGCAATTCTTTACAAAAGAAGGGCAGTNTTTTAAAGATTCTTTTCTTCTGCAAGGCAAAAGATTAAATATTGAATTATAGTTCTCTTAAAATGCAACATGCTTGAAAGAATCAAAATGGAGCCTTTCATAATCGGTAACTGTATAGCCTCTAGATGCTACAAAGAAATTAAAAATGTACCCAGTAGCATGCCAGTAATACCAGTGCATGAATGACGGTTTCTCTATTTGAAGATCAGCTGTGGAACGGGGATTTGGCTTCCAGGATTGTGCTAGTTATTGTACAAGTACACAGCTCATTCATGCTTGAACTTACAGTACACTGAATTAGAATTTTAACCTCTTAAACACAATATTTCTTATTTAATTCCCAGAGCAGGGAATTATAAAAAACCTACAGTCTATTTTATTCTGAGCATTCAAAGAGATTGGCCAAGCTGTCACCTACAGTTATTTAACTGAGGAGGGTAGTGAGAAAAATGATTCTTAATGAAATCCTAGTTAGCAAACAACAAATTTGTGATGCTATTGCCATCATAAGAAGAGCATTAAAATTTGGTGCAATGACTTGTTACATAGAGTTTAAAACATTTGTAATAAGCTCTATAATGACAGTCTGAAGTAAATTAAAATAATTAACTATTTTAAATAACCTTCTTACAACATGTGAGGGTAGTAGTAGATAGTATTATCCAGTGAAAATAATCCATATTATTTTGCCTGCAGAATTGTTCCTACATGGTACAGTAACTGACTTTTCCTATATCATGTAACAGTGATCTATAGAGACGAAATAAATAACAGAAACAGCACTGCAATAGAGTAATTTTCATGTTCTTTGGCTATCTTGCATCTCTGTCCTTTGTATGTTTGCATTAATGGAACTTAAATCTTATTCCAGGCATTTGTTGAGAGTTGTTTTTGCTCAAATGTGTAAGTTTTTCTTTTACAGAAAGGCAGTAAGATAATTAGATATGCTGACTTGCCAGATTTCTTGTATTGTACAAAACCTAGCTTTTATATAATTCAGTGTATTAGTACAGTCTAATTGTAGATGTCTTTAGGACATTGCTGTATCATATTACCTTGTTACTGATAAAGATAAAGATGTAGCTCAACAGAAAATAAATAAGATCATGAAACAGCTTGAAACATGGTTTCAGGTAAATAACTTTTTAATAAATATTAAAAAAACAGCTCCTATGTCATTCCATCTTAGTAAAAATAGGTTTGTAGTTAGACTGTAGATACCCTATAATAACTTGGAAATTACTTACTCATCAGAACTGAGATTTTTAGGTATAGATATTATAGAAAACCTTAAATGGAATACCCACATCTGGTCATTATGTTCAAAACTTAGTAAAACATCCTATATAACTAAATCGCTAAGAGGAGTTTTGAGTCCAGATATGTTAAGCATTTATTTTGGAAAGTTTCAATCGTTATTGAGAGATGGAATAATATTTTGGGGGGTGAAGGTGATAGTATAAAGGTATTTAAAATGCAGAAGAGGGTGTTGCAAATAATTAGTGGACTTTGTAAACAAGAGTCATGCAGGCAAATTTTTAAAGATTATGGCATCCTGACGGTCACATCTTTGTATATCTTAGAGGTGTTATGTTACATAAAAAAGCACAAAGCAGATTTGATCCAAAATATAAATATTCATAGTTATAATACAAGAATAAACAAGGGTTTTCATGTTCAATTCTTCAGAACTACATTATTTTAAAAAAGTGTGGTAAATATGGGGATAGAATTGTATACTAATGCACCAAACAAAATAAAAACGGGGTTTTTCAGCTTTTAAAAAAGACCTAAAATCATTTTTATTTAAACATTCTTTTTATACGATAAATTAATTTGATAGTTTTAATAAAAAAAGTGGATGGTGCAAGTACTTATGTTTGGATGTCATAGCCATTCATGGGCTGTATATAGTAGTTTGTATATTTTTTGGAATGTTGTGTTTATATATATATATATTTTATGATTGTAACAAATGGTAGTATGCTTGTAACTTTGTAGATTTATTTTGTTAACTTGTATTACCGAATGATGTGTCCAAGTGTTACTATGTAGCAAAACGGATGAAATAAAATACAGTACAATAGAATACCTGCAAAAAGGAGGTTGATATCAGATGCTGCTTTTTTTTGTGTGCGGTAAGCGTGCTCTTCAACCCCACACACTGCTCCGTGTTACATCTTACAGTGTTACACTGATGCCCCAAGAATCCAATAACATTTACTGCCCTTTGTATGTGCCTCATTTTATTCATTCAACTTCCCTGTTGCCTCTGTAAAGAACAAGAACGTTTTAGTGTAATACTGCAGCTTTCTTTGATAGATAACCTAGCATGTAAACACATTTTCACCATTTCTGTGAATTCTAGACTTTACTGAATAGATGCAATAATAGACTTCCTTTCAGTAACAGTAATGCAGAAATCTGAGGCATTTATTTTACTTTCTGGGTAATTCTTTGAGTGCAACATCAGAATATCTAGAATGATATTCATTCATATATTCTGGTGATGCTACAAGAATATTATACATCATCCTGCGAGATACATGACAATTTTCCATGTTATGGTTTTATGCCTATCCCTTCAGTGATCAACTTCTTGTGTATGAATGATAGGATTTATAACGTTTCTCTTTAATCGCACATATATCAACGCAAATCTAGCTGGAGCTTTGCAAATATTAATCCTCGTTTTCGTCATGCATCTATAGCTTAAATTTTATTATTTTGATGATAAGTATTTACTTTCATCTGAAGTAATCCCGTCCATGTAGGTACAAGTTCACAGTTCTAGTATTTATGGAATTTTTGTTCCACGTGGAGTCTTTACACCCAATACTTAATTTTTGTACCATATGTGACCTAAAATTCTGAGTCCTCAGTAAAATGCTTACTGCGAACTGTAATCCATCATCATTTAATTTAACACATAACAGGTTTGTATTCTGACATTTAAAATTAAAAGAATATTAAACCAAATTAACATAACTTCATGATACGGAAATAAATGTCATTTAAAAATTACAACATGTGTACTGATTTCGTAACTGCATCCCCAACAGATTTTACAGAAATAAAATTATTCCATATTATTAACAAAAAGTATCATGATTACACGCAGTACTCCTACATTTCTTCTACAGGGATTTTCTATTTCCATCTATAAACGTTGGCATCCATGTGCAAGGCGCTGAAACTCGTGGTTGCTCGTGGTTGTTCTAAGCAAGTGAATATCGTAGTATGAGGTTCTGTGGTCAGCTGCTGTTATCTCAGATTACTTCACCGAATGTAACCACAACTTAAAAGGGAATACGTATAATGTACACTATTTTTAGTTATGTTTGAGGACGATTAATTCACGAATTGTTAGCTGAGTGTGAATTATTGTACTTTTTTCATTTTTTGAAGCTCATGTCTATAGAAAAGAAGAAATATGAATGCAGCGCATTGCCGAAAGGATGGCAGAGAGAAGAAGTTACTCGAAAATCTGGTCTTTCTGCAGGAAAAGTAGATGTGTATTACTATAGGTATATACTGTTGTGATATTTTAATTACTGCACGTTAAGACAAGATTATGACTCACAAAACCGAATTTGTCATACTAATCACCTAATTGAAATTATGCCTTTAGCATTCCTATGGTAAATGCATGGATCTGTTCACGTTTACCTGACAAACCGTTAAAAAAAAAAATTATATATATATATATATACTTTCAGAAACTGATAGGCAATTAGCAACCCAAGATATTCTATTTTGTGTAAGAAAATTGTTTATGACAATTATAAGAAATTGCCATGAGTCAACTTGTTTTAGAAGAATCCAGTTGGAAAGCAAAAGTTCATACTTCCAGTGCTAGAATGAAAGTATTTATGCTTACTCTGGGATGACTGCACTGAAGTAACATGTGCTTGGAATCACCAGTATGTACAAGAATTATTGCTTTTCTGTTGCAGCCCAAATGGGAAGAAGTTTCGCAGCAAGCCTCAGCTCGCTCGTTACCTGGGAGATGCGCTTGATCTTGCCACATTTGATTTCCGTTCAGGCAAAATCAATTCATTACTCCTACGAAAAAACAAGAAGCAAAGAGGAACTCAGTTTGATTACAGGTAGGCCAGTTTTGAAGCCTGCTTAACATTACTTATGCTCTGCAAGTAGTGGTACATTTTGAGGTGTCAAAAACTAAAGATTTTGTTATTTAGTATGTAAAATATGTCAGTGACACATAAAAACTTGAAACTTTTATTACTTTGTTTATTTTGAAATTCTGTTCATACCTCCAAACTGCTAATTCTTTTATGGAAGCCACATGACTTTTGATATACTGTAGTTTGTTCTGAGGGTTGTGGTGGTGTGCAGATCTGTTGTTTTTGGTTAATGTTTTTTCCTGCTTGTGAGTGCATGACCTAATGTTATTTTTCATAAAATCAATTTTTTGTTCAAGCAAATATTCAGCATTGTGACTATGACTGTTATACCTGCTCATACTGTGGTTTTATGAAACAGAAGACTGGAATATGATTTCAGTCGTGGTGTAAGAAATGATGCATCACTTGTACCACCAATTCGTCAGACAGCCTCCATCTTTAAGCAACCTGTTACTGTTTATAAGACTCAAGAAGGGAAGGTGAAAACTGATTTCAAACATGGTCCTCAGGAGAAGCCAAAACAGGTAGGACAGATTAATGATAGGTATACTGTACAAGTTTATGGTAGGACTGTTAATATATGTTGAGTCAATACTATGGATATTTTCAGATATACTTCTAGATGCATTGCAGTTTGTTTGGGATATGTGGATACACAAAGCCTTTTGAACTTTCTTACTTTCAACAATTTTCTTTTTTCTGACTGATGGGAGGAATTGAAAATTTATTGGACTTTGAAGGATTCTGATGATGGTGTATGCTTTATAGAACTATAAGGTTTATTTTGGACTCTATCCATTGTCTGGTATATATCTGTCTTATACATACCAGACGATGGATAGAGTCCAAAATAAACCTTATAGTTCTGTACTATATTTATTGTCTGGCATTATACTTCATCACTCACAAAATACAGTGTTTTGTGTGGGTCCAGTCTTACACAGTATTCAACCAAATTTATCCTTTTCCTACCATTTTAACATATTGTCATAAAAAATGATTTGGTAACCTTGCTGTTCGTTACTGCTCATGCTAAAGTCTACCATTGCATCTGATCATCATCCACTTCCATCCCCCTTTGTCCTTCAGAACTTACCTCCTTAATACCAAACCTAATGTTATCCTCCTATCTTCTTTTCCTTCTTTCAAGAGAACATTTTCCAAGAGATTTCCCTTCATTCCCATGCTAGTCACATGGTCATCCCATCACAAACTCTTCAGTTTCACTGTCCTAATAGTACGTGATCTGATCCTTATTATGTAATATTTCACAATGGTTCAGATGTTATGAAGTTTGTCCAGTTCTTTGTTATTCTGTGTCCTTGAGGGCCAAATATTACCCTTAGCATTTTACTTTGACATTCTCAGTCACGCATATAAATAACAACTAAAATTATGGTTTCATGTATTTTAATCTGTAAGTTTTTAGATGGGACATGGGAACCTCAGAGGTTGTTTATGTTAATTTTTAAATATTTGAAGCTGATACTAGCAGATATTTTGATTAATAATTTCTTAGTTTATAATTTAGCAGCCTCCATAGTCTAGGGGTAATGTTCCCACCTCATGACTCAAGGTACGCGGGTTGAAACCCGGCGGAGGTCATGGAATTTTTAAGGCTGGAAAAATTCAGGGAACAAGTCTTCCGGGAGGGACTTTAAGCTGTGTCTCCCATGTAGTAGATTTATGGCATGTAAAAGATCCTCATGTCTCTAGGAGACCTCTGAGCAAAATTAGGCAAAGTTTCCTGCCCAAGTAGTTTCCAATTCCTCTGGTAGATGGGGAAGTATCGGGGACCACTGCCAGAGAGGTGGCTGACCTCGCTGGCAGGACAGGGCTGATAGTGAGCACCAGTATTGGAAGGGCATGGCGACTGGTAGAATATCAAAGGGGGATGCACAATAGACTACTAGTCGCAGTGCATGGGGAAACCCACCCCCTCCAAAAATAATAAAAATAATAATAATAATAATAATAATAATAATAATAGTTTATAATTTTGGCAGGCATTTACATTCAGCTGGAAGTATGTACAGCAAGCAAAGCAGGCTGAACAGGGTAGTGAAAGACAGTTCCTAAGGTTGTAGAATTCCTCACCTTTGACAGTTAAAAGTTTTTGAATACAGGGAGCCCTAGGTCCCCAGGGTAGCGCGTATCATTGTAAGGAAATGGAATTCCACTGTAACAGCACCACATCATAGAAGTAGCCTCTGTCATGTGGTGAGAGGTCAGGACGGCCAAAAGTCCCACAACTGTGTTAGGAAAAAAACATAAAGCATTGTGGATTCATATTACAAAAGTTTTGTTTTACAGCTATTCTGGGAGAAGAGACTGGAGGGCCTACGAGCATGTGATTTAGATGGATTAGAATTTAATGGAATGGAATTGCCCCGAGCACTACGCGCAGTAGGACCACATGTGGGCGAGGAGACCCTGTTACAGTCTGTGGCTACAGCCCTCCATGTGTCTACACAGCCTGTGACAGGGCAGACAGGTTCAAGATCTGCTCTTGAAAAAAATCCAGGTGTTTTTCTAAATCCTGACCAACCTCTAGTGCAGGTGAGCCGGTAGCAAGCCTAGTCCATAGCTCAGTAATGAGCTGTCAATGTTAGTAAAATCTGCATATACATATAAAAAAAAAGTAAAGCTATCCCTGTAACAGGCCGTGAAGGCCCATAGGGTTGTGAGATGTTGAGGTCCCACATTATCTAGATAGTTGGCTCAAAGATGTCAGTAAGGTTGTCAGCCTTATGCGCCAGCTGCACTTTACTCCCCAGGAAAATTATTTAATTAATTCCTATATATATATATATATACACACACACACACACACACACACACACACACACTTACTCTTTACTCTCATATAAAATTACTGCTGCCTTTTATACAATTTCAAGAAGGACTGCGACTGTATGGAAGACAGAAGGTGGTCCAACACCATATTAATAAAGAAATGTGTACAGTATCTGTAGTGTTTCCACTATTTTGCCCAACCTGTGTATATGAAACTGTTCAAACAAATTATGACAGCCCAGCAAATGATTAAACAAGAAATACACTCGTATAATGTTAGGGATTTGAGTCTGAGTGGGTATATGACATCCTTTCTATGAAAAATGCTGGCTAAAGTATGTGTGCTATTCTTGTACAAAGACATAGCAGGTTCTTTTTCATGATTTGTTCCTTCTAAAATCTGACCATAGAGAAATACACCCACACATGGTCATATGTAGGTATGTTTATGACCTAGCTCAGGAGAAGTTTTATGTATCCAAGTTCAATAGTTCATTATGAGTTATTGTCATCAGACTAATTGTACAGACACATGGGCAGTGAATATGGTCATGGTCTTCTGGGATGTAATGCTATGTAAATTATGAACTTGATAGACAGGTTCCAACTTTTCAAAGGAACTTGTTGTCTCAATCATCAGAGTAAAAAAGGGTCCTGCCCAAGAGATGGGGACAGCAGGTTCCTCTGAAATATGACACCTACCTACCTGCCCACCAATCTACATGGCATCCTGTTCCTGGAGGCTGTTGATCCTCATGGACATGATACCTAAAGCCTATCTTTCCTTATGAAAAAGGAAGGACTAAAAAATTATTCATACCAGGCAGTGGGAAGAAAGGTGTAGAAAATGTTTCCATTTTATATAATTACATCAAGGCATTTATAAGATCAAAATAGCATTTTATATCACAACAGTAATACCAGCAAATAATTTTTTTTCAGGCAGTGTCTGTGGCAGATGAAGATATCAAGAGACAAGAGGAGAGAGTTTCAGTAGCACGGAAGAAACTTCAAGATGCTTTGAGGAGGATAGTGGCTTAGTTTAGTGTGTTCATATATCATGTTTCATTTATTCAATTCAGCTAAGAGAGGCAACTGTAATAATGTGTTTTTAGTATATTTGTCTCCAGTCTTAATACAGAGAATGCCCAAGACTAATTCTTCTGCAAAAGGGAGATGTAAACAATAGTACGTAAGTTACACATTCCTACTGTACAGAAAAGAACCATTCCTTATAGGAATAAAATTTAGACCAGCTTCAATATCAGTGCATTTTTAAAATAACTCCAGGTTTTTCTTCATGCTTCACACATTAGCTAATATTGTTCTGTTGTCACAATGTCTTTAAGCTAAACTCTGTAATGTAAAGTACCCTATGAGTGTGCCACAGAAATGAAGCACTCTCAGATTTAGGGCAATCTCCTAAAATTGTACACTTCAAATTGAATAAATTATTTAAGAGAAGATCTCAATTTGAAATTATTTGCTAAATCAGGCCCTGTCCTACAATAAAAAAAAAAAAAAAGTAAATACATACATTTCACAAGTCCAAAATACAATGGACATGAAACTGGTCACAAGCATAACACAAACAAAGGAGAAAGACAATACAAAGCTAAACAAACACAGTAACTAATTATTTACTGTATGCTCAAAAAATTCATCAACTGTATAAAATGAGTTATTCATGAGATATGAAAATAAATTATTTTTAAAACTGATTCTATCCTTTCCTAAGACTTTGAATGGTCTTTGGCAATCTATTAAATAACTTAATACCAGTAAACATAGAGCCTTTCTGGAAAACAGAAAGATCTGAAGTTGGAATATAAATTTGATTTTTGCTTCTAGTGTTCAGGCCACGAACCTCTAAACCTGAACCGAAATTATTTTATCAGAAACAAAATCAAAGAAAAAATAAATTCACATGACAATGGTAAAATATCTTAATTTCCTAAAAAGACTTCTACACGAGTCCCTGGATCCCACTTCCAATATGATCCTTATTATTTTCTTTTGTAATATAAAAACTCTAGAATTATTAATCAAATTGCCCCAGAAGACTATTCCATACTTAATGATAGAATGAAAGTAAGAAAAATATACCATCGCAGGGTTTTTAAAGTCATAAAATAAGATAAACTCCTAATTACAAAAATAGAACTGAATTTAGGAAGGATGTATTCCACATGACTCTTCCATTCAATTTATCATCAATTTGTGTGCTCACAAGTTTTATTACAGGGACTTCATTCATACTATGTTTCCAAAGAATACTGCCAACAAAGAGTTAGCAGACTGTTTAGGAGCAAAATTAATAACATTAGTTTTGTTAATATTTAAGACAAACTTGTTCACCATAAACAAATTTACAATAAGAGACAAGGTATCTGCAACTTTGTGCTTAAGCACACAATGATTTTTTCCAGTGACCAAAATACTGGTGTCATCCGCAAAGAGAGAAATATTGGGAATTTATTGATGCATAATGGTAAGTCGTTAATATAAATAAGAAACAGAAGTGGTCCTAAGATCGACCCCTGAGGAACTCCTTGCTTGACTCTTTCCCATTTGGAGAAATAATCATGACCATTTTCAATTCTGAGATGCACTCTCTGTTTTCTATCTGATATATAGGATTTAAACCAATTTAAATTACAATCCTGAACACCATAATACTCCACTTTGGATATCAATATCTCATGATTAACACAATCAAACGCCTTGGCAATATCACAAAAAATCCCAACAGTTATAAGTTTATCATTCCAGGCTTGAAGTATGTCAGTGGTAAGTGAAAAAGCAGCATGATCAGTTGACAAGTCTTTCCTAAAACCCAACTGTTCCTTACCCAATATATTATTCACTTGCAGAATGGCAAAGTGTGTACAGTATTATGAAATTATATTAATATTACTGCATTACTTTTATTGGGAATAATTTTATTGTTATTTTCCTTAGAACTAATACTTTTTTGATATGTTTACCTTAATTTTGCAGTACTGCTCCATTCTTACTCCTTTTAAGAATTCTGCTTGGTAAAGGTATACCAAATCCTGCAAGCCTATGAATCTTTTCCCCCAAGAATTTTAACATAAGAGGTGCTTCATTTTTTGCCAACACCACCAGATAACATGTGATTTCTTAATTTCTTAAGCCATTATTACTAGCATTTATTCACCAATTTCAAAAGATATTTTTAATTGCTCTGAGTTACATCAAATATCACACCCCATCCATTGTTTCATCATCACAAAATGTATAATTTCGGTTTACAGTGCCAACATTACTCCAGTATGAAGTGTCCACATAATATTGTGTTCATAAACCGTTAGGAATTCTCTTTGTGGTGACTGATGGAGATGAATGGCTTCTACAGATCTGAACATAACAGAGAGATGCTTAAAGAAAAAAAAGATATACATTAGCAGGAATCATCCTTACCAAAACATGATTAAAATAACACTCATGCTGTTAACCATAAGCTAGTACCAACAATGAAAAGTCTTATTGCTACTCTCTTCTCACTACGGCATGTACTGTTACTAGGAGGGAGGATGCACCTTGTTTGGTACAACCACTAATTACAACATGTGAAAAGCACAGCATAATGAATTTAATCATGCACTCAACCCTGAATTATTCTTCTCTTTGGACAGATCAAACCTTAGTTTTTCTCTGAGTGTTCATACCTGAGGAATGAACAAAAACCTGCTAGTCTTTACCTCTTCTTTTCACTTGCAGTCCTGTTAACAGACCTGCCATAATAATAATGAGGAGGTATCTAAAAATATTAGCCATTATTTCAGGCCATAAGTTGTTGTATTGTTATCAGTTATACAAATGACTCACAGATCAATATCTATAAGTACGTATACATAATTACACAGTAAAAGTAAAAAAAGTAAATCTATCCCTGTACCAGGCCGTGAAGGCCCATAGGGTTGTGAGACGTTGAGGGTCCCACACTATCTAGACAATCGGCTCAAAGATGGCGGTAAGGTTGTCAGCCTTACGCGCCGGCCGCGCTTTACTCCCCAGGAAAATAATTTAATTAATTCCTGGTACTCGTTTCTGTTTGAGGCTGAGTGAACCCCAGGGCCATAGTGCAGCTGGAAGGTCTAATAATTATAATTAAATACTCTGTTTGGAATAAAAAGTGAACATACCTCTCGAGGTAATTTGAACCATGCCACTATTACAGATTCGCTGCTGTCATTTACCTAACAGTCTTCTTCCATACGTTTACTCATTGATGGGGAATTCTGCGTACATAGTTTAACGCAGTTTCTCGAAGAGGTGAGATTCAGAATACTGTCTTTTCGGATGTTACGCTGCGTAGTGCAATAAATGTTTACACCTATCAAACCTCTGCCATATACAAATACAGTATTCATACTATTTCGCCCTATTTATTACTGAAATCAAGCTCTTCGGAGCGTACTTTTGAAAAACGGAAACTCGCACAACGTGCAATATTCTCCTTCCTATACTCCGTTACAAACTAAACTGCTATATAGGTTAGAAATCAAACCTGCCTTGCATAAAACAGACGGATAATTTAACCGATATACCTCTCGCATAATGTGTCGCAGGGACAGCAGACGGAATCGGACGCAATCGATGCAATTTTCTTCGGGTACGTAGTAATCGGTGGGATGGATAGTATTCACGAACGTTCACGAATCGCTTACAATTGGATGTATCGATCGGGATGATCGAGATCTAGATCTCTCACACAAACCGCTTAGTGCCTGTGTGTTAATTGTTCCGTGCTAATAAATATTTACATATGGAACTCCGGGGCGTAGAGAGCAACGATCGAAACGATCGACAGAATATCGTTTTCCTACAGTAGTCCGTGGAGTGCATGGTGTGTTTCGTACGTTTCATAACGACGGTGGTTACTAACGTTACTGAGAACAAGGTCTGTCAGAACTCAGAAATAGTAGGCTTCATAACGACGGTGGTTGATAAGAATGTGATCTGTCAGAAATAAGGAGATTTCAGTAGCGTTATAAGGAGGGAAGTTCATTTATAATTCAAGATTTGTGCTTTTACGTGGTAGTGCAGCACCTAGAACTGAATAATGGTATGAATGTTAAAAACGATGAGTAGTATATATAGATAAGATACACGACGACCTTTAGTGAGGCATTGTATTAATAAATATATTTTGTACAGGTTATTGACGGGGTTAAAATTTTACTTGTTCTTTTTGTTTTCAGTCAGCACTTTTCAATTTACAGAGCTTATTGACTGTGGTGCTACTGCTTATATGCACATGTGCATATGTGAGATCGTTATTTCCCAGTTTGGTGGACAGAAATAAAGTAGGGTATGTACATGTGTATGGTATAGTGACTTGCAATGACAATCGGTGATATGAGGGAATCCTAATCTACCACACAACAATATTTCGCTGTTAGCATTGTTGATAAGAGTTAGGGGGTTAGTTGTTATAATGTTTCTAATATTAAAAACCAAGATAGGAGTAGATAATGCTAGTAAAGAAGTATGCCAATTATAGTAAATTGCACTGGCTGGGCCAGTGTAGTAGTAACGCTGCATTCATTTGGGAAGTGCTTGGGTCAAACCACAGCTAACATGACTGTAGTTCTTCTGGCCCTGCAGTGCAAATGTTATAGTCATGCCTGGATTAGATCATAACTGTTTCATTCTTTGTCCTATGGGATTGTTTCTGTCTGGAGCTTGGATTTTTATACTTGTCAACACTGAATTTGGTACATTCCTAACCTCTATCCATTGGGTACGAGGAATGAAATGGGCAGAGCCTGAAGGTTACCATTCGCCAGTACCCAGTGCAGTGTTAATGTGAGGAGCTATACTGTCACTTTGGTACAGAAAAGCAATATACTGTATATGCTTGTGGTTGTATTTAATATAAAGGTACTCTTATTATAATTACCATGTGTCTAGTTAGCAATTATGAACAAGAGTGAATTTTTTTATCAATGTAATTTAAGTGTCATGTTTAGGTTCCTTGTTAATGTACTATTACTTATTTCAGGTTACTTGGCATATTCTGGAAATGTGCCCGAATTGGTGAAAGGATAAGCCCCTACGTTGCAGGCAGTTGTATAATTATGGCAGTCAGCATTCTTTTTTGGTCTTAATTTAATTCATAACCACCTGAAATGACTTCAAACATTTTGTTGCTCCCATGAACTTTCCATCTTGAAAATACAAAGGATTCTGTGTGTGTGTGCGCGCATGCTTGTGTATATATATACAATAAAATGAACACATTAAGGACTGTGAATAAATTATGTTCATAATAATTTTTATACTTAGCTTCCCAACATGTCAACCACAACTGAGATATGGTGAGCAGCTATGATTCTCTGATCTGAGTAGAAATTATACAGATAGGAAACCTCTCATTCTACATAGCTGTTTCCAGGTTTATAGTTTTGTGTCTCATCACACAAGAAACACAGTATATATAGCTTTAGAATCAGAATGCTCTCAAGCTGACAGTATCTAGACTATATGGTGATTCAGATGATTAATCTAGTGT